AACCCATTGTCTTAACCACTTCTCTACTCCAGGTCAGCCGCAGAAGCCTGCATCTAGGATAGCAGAATCTCAAGCAGCAGTTTTGATGGGTTCATGTTCTATGCCTGCCTGAAGCTTGGACTGGGGAGAATGCAGGGACAAGGGATCAGTCGTGGTTGTTGGGGGCAGGGTGGGGGAATGACAGCACATGCCATGTGTGTGTGACATAGAGATCTATTTTATCCATATTGCAGCTGAAATTGTATGAGTGTATATTCGCTTTCAGTTGCTGCTGTAATAAATTACCAAAACCTTCGTTTATTATATAGTTCTGGAGGTCATAATTCTAAAATGAATCTTAATGTGGCTAAGATCAAAGTGTTGGCTGAGCTGTCTCCTGGAAGCTGTGGGGGAGGATCCATTCCTTGCCTTTCTCAGTCTCCAGAGGCTGCCTGCATTCTGTGGCTCCTTAGCCCCTCCTTCCTCCATCCTCAAAACCAGTACTTCAAATCAATCTCTTTCTCTCTCTCTCTCTCCTGCTTTCATTGTCACATGTCCTTCTCTGATTCTGACCCTTCTGTCTCCCTATTATAAAGACTCTTGTGATTATTGAGCCCACTTAGATAACCCAGAATACACTCCTTATCTCAGGATACTTGAACTTAACTACATCTCCATAGTCCCTTTTGCTCTGTAAAATAGCATAGTCACAGGTTCTGGGGACTAGACTGTGGACATGTTTAGGGGGCTACGATTCTATCATGAGGTGTAAAGAAAATAGAAGTGCACCATGGGCTAGCCTGGGATACCATTGCTAAGGTGGTTTCTGAGGTCTCTAGAGCAGCTGAAGCATTATTTGGGTGTTGAGTCAAGGACAGCCTGATAGAGCATATGCCATGCATGTGCTGAGAAGCTGTGCACTTGAGAACTTCCAGGAGTGAAAGGTCTTTTTTTTTTTTTGAGATGGAGTTTTATTCTTGTTGCCCAGGATGGAGTGCAATGGCACAATCTTGGCTCACTGCAACCTCCGCCTCCTGGGTTTAAGCCATTCTTCTGCCTTAGCCTCCCTAGTAGCTGAGATTACAGGCGCCTGCCACCACACCCAGCTAATATTTTGTATTTTTAATAGAGACAGTGTTTCACCATGTTGGCCAGGCTGGTATTGAACTCCTGACTCCACCCACTTCAGCCTCCCAAAGTGCTGGGGTTATATGTGTGAACCACCATGCCTGGCCAAAGTCTTTAAAGTTCATGTAAGAACAGATACCTGGGATGGTGTCTCCTGCTTCTGAGCACCTGACCAGGCTTGGATGGCCACAGGGTCTTATGATCTCTGATTTTCTGTGGAATTGGAATTATCATTTTGCATCTATATCCCTAAAAGTGCCATGCTACTCAAATTGTGGGAATGAATTACCGTGCTCCCATCAAGTGAATAGCAGGCAGACCTATGTGTCAGGAACACAATGTGATGCGGCAAGCAGCCCACCAGGGGAGCGGGACCTGAATGATAGGAATAGAAGAGGAGGGGATTCTGAGAATGCAGGCATGCCTGGGGACATTTTCCAAGCAGAACTGCAGTGTCCAAATGGTTTAGAAGGTGCGAAGGGGAGTGACTGGGAAGGTAGGCAGGTGTCACATCAGGAATGATCTGGAGGGACAGGGAGCCAGTGAAGGGTTCGGAGCAGGGGAGCAAGGGCAAAAATGCATGTGACCAGAGCCCCTCCAGGTCAAGTCCTGGGTCTGGTTCACAGCTGAGTGCCCAGCTTTGTGAGTCTTAAGCCAAGGTGGAATGCTCAGCAGAGAGTGAATGGATGTCACAGGTAAGCCTCACTGTCCTTCCAGGCCAGCTCACCAGGCCCCCCTCTGAACAGCTCCACACACACCACTGAGACTCTGTTTGGAGGGATTTAGATTCTAGCATGCATGTCATGGCATGCCTCACTGTCTTGGGTTCCTTTCCACAGTGCATTGGCCATTGCCCAATAAATATCTGTGAATAACATATTGCAATAGGAATATAGAGGAAACAAACAAAAGAAATATAAGGGAAACTGGAACAAAAAAAAAAAGCTGACTAAGTCTGACAAGGTATTGTTTGGTCACCAGTGCCCCTATGCACCAGGGAGCATGGTATTAGATGGAATATGTTTCCTTTTTCAAAAGTCCATCCTGTACCAGGCTTCATTTGATCCTCCTCAAAACCACCTCCTAGAGGGAAGCCATGTAAATTCTTAAAAAAAAAAAGGCAGTTGAGGAGACCCAGACCCAGACCCAGTGGAGTAGAGCAGTGGCTCCCAACCTTTTTAGCACCAGGGACCAGTTTCATGGAAGATGACGTTTTCATGGACTGGGGGGTCAGTAGGGGATGGTTTTGGGGTGAAACTGTTCCACCTCAGATCATCAGGCATCAGAGTCTCATAAGGAGCACAGAGCCTAGGTCCCTTGCATGCACAGTTCACAATAGGGTTTGTGTTCCTGAGAATCCAGTGCCACTGCTGATCTGACAGGAGGCGGAGCTCAGGTGGTAATGCTCACTCACCTGCTGCCCACCTCCTGCTGTGCAGCCTGTTTCTAACAGGCCAAGGACCAGGACTAGTCCAGGGCCCTGGGGTTGGGGACCCCTAGAGTAGAGTGGTTTGCCATAGTTCATCTGGTAGAGGGTGGGAGGATTAAGGTATTAACCTTGGCTTCTGGATTACAGTTTTCTTTCCTCCCATGATGCTGCTCTGCTTTCCTCTTCATTCTAGCCTAGTTATCCTTCCCCCTGTTAAGCTTTTAGAACCTGTGGTCTTACCCATCCTTCATTCATCCTTACTCAAGGGCTGTCTTTGGGCATTTCATACACTGTACTTACTTACACCAGGTTCTTTTACCCTTGCTATATATACCTTGTTTTGCCATCTAAACTGGGCATTCTTGGATGGCCAGGGTATGATTTGAAATTTATCTGCATGCCTAGGGTATAATCCACATGCCTAGTTACTCTTCTTTAAAAGAATGAACTCTATGTTAATTTATTTCATAAGGCTGGGGACAGCGGCTCTTTTGTTTACCATTGGAGCTAACATGATGTCTGGCCCCTAATAGATGGGGAGTGAGTTTATGTGTTGGGGGTTTATAAGAGCACAGAAGGGTGTGGTGTGGGGAGCTTGAGCTTTGGTCTTGGGCAAAGGCCAAAGGTTGTGGGGGATTGGATTGTCTTGTTCCTGGGCTCCTACCTGGTTGTGTTATTCTGGTGTCTGCCTTCTGTAGGTTGAGCAGCCTTTAGTTGCACAGACTGTGGTCTTGTCCCTAAGCAGTTATAGACACTCTTAGGATTTTTTTTTTTTTTTTTTTTTTTTGAGACGGAGTTTCACTCTTGTTACCCAGGCTGGAGTGCAATGGCGCAATCTCAGCTAACAGCAACCTCCGCCTCCTGGGTTCAAGCAATTCTCCTGCCTCAGCCTCCCAATAGCTGGCACTACAGGCACGCGCCACCGTGCCCAGCTAATTTTTGTATTTTTAGTAGAGACAGGGTTTCACCATGTTGACCAGGATGGTCTCGATCTCTTGACCTTGTGATCCACCCACCTCGGCCTCCCAAAGTGCTGGGATTATAGGCGTGAGCCACCATGCCTGGCCACTCTTAGGATTTTAATAAGTTAACAGCATTTTTCAAAGTGTTTCAGTTCAGGTGGCGAATTCTGGAATCTTGTATATGAGGGGAAGAAAGGCTAGAAGGAGGAAAGCTGGAGAAGGAAGGTGAACTAGGAAGAAGGGGAGCCCCAGTAAATCCACATGGTGGGCTGGTGCACCATGTGGATTTAGGTTTTCTGTTACTTATTCCTCACCTTAGAGTGGGGGGTGAGGGTGGGGGTGTCCATGTGCCTCTTTCTGCCCAGCTGTGCTTTCCCAAAGCCCATGTATATCTGGATTCAGGAATACAGTTTCAGTGGGTGTGCCTGGCTTTAGGATAAGCAGCGTGAATGTGCCTGTGGCATATGGATGTCATGTGGTTGTGACCTAAAACCCTGGGCTCCATCAGAAGTGTTCTCCACATTGTGTTTTGGTGTAACAATTGCCCGTTAAATGCCAGGCTGCCAGCATATGGTTCCCTCCAACATCCTTCTTGTTAAGTGGAAACTTTAGCTGTGTGGCTGGAATATTTTCCCATCATTTATTATTTCAGAATTAACATATTTTGGAGAATTCTGCAATTAATGCTATATGGCACATTTGCAGAGTATTACAGAAACAGTTAATGGGAGTTGGTAGATCTGTAGCTGCTTTTTCTCATGATGGTTAAGTGGTGGGTTAGGAAAAGGCGGGGTCAACGGGAGGATTCTGGGCTCTGTGGATGCTATAATTAAAGTAGGAAGTCTGGCACAGTCGTTAGCCTTGCTATTAAGAGTGCAGATGGCTAACGGCCACATCACCAAGAGTAAGAGGCCTTTTAAAGTCTTTTTTCTTTTTCTTTTATGACCCACCCTGTGTATTCCAAGCATAGGTATGGATGCAGTGAAGAATTTTCTCATTAAAAGTAACAGCTTATTCCCATACTCCTTCCCAGCCTTGGAATGAGAAACCGCTTTCCCTAGACTTGAGGAATTGCCTATCTGTCATGGCTTAATCGCGCTTGTGGATGAGGATGTCTGGAGTAGGCGAATTTTATAACAAATCAGTGCTCAAAGTGGATCTAATTGGAAGGGTTCCATCTGGCAGCTCTTGGTCTTTCTCCCAATTTTACTATTAATGTATTATTATTTAACCCCTAAACATAGAACAGCCTGCCTCTATTGTTTTAGGGGAAGTAAGTGCTCATGATCCCTCTGGCCTAGCAGTTAGGAATCTCCTGGGCTGCCGGGAGTCTGGCAGCCGTGGGGGACCATGAAGTGGGCAGAAAGAGTGGTGGGACAATGCCCGGGGACTGGCATGACCCTGGGTCTCAGCAGTACTGCCTGTGTTTGGATTCCATGGGGATCTGTGCTGGAAGAGCAAATTGGCTTCACTTTGCATCATGTTCTCTTGTTTTCCCACAGGGAGTGGGGCTGGCCAGCAGAAACAGTGGGCTGCACAACATCACCTTCAAGTATGACAGTAAGTAACCACCTTTATTGCTGAAGAATGGAGCCCTTTGAGTCATCTAAAGATTACATAGCCATGCTTAATCAAGGACGCCGCAGTCTTGGAGTTGAGGAATTTTCTGAACCTGTTCAGGTTTGTCAATAGCTAAGGCAGCTCAGTCTCAAGCCACTCAAGTATTTGAGAGCTTGACCAGGTCAAGTGTCTTCCATAGTATTTAGAAAAGGTATGTATGGAGACCCTCCCTATGTTCCTTGGGGTTTATCTGCATTTGTTGTTAAGGACATAGCTGCCAGTATGGTCCAGCAGGGAACACATAAAGTTGCCCCGGTGCAGGGTGCTAGGGAATGGTGGAGACTATGGCAAACTGGCTAGCTCATGTCTTCTCTGAGGGTAGCATTGACTCCTTAATTCCCAATATTGTGGCCATGAGGAATTCTCACTGAAGGTAGCAAATTGATTTCCAAGAACAGTGGGAAATTTGTGCTTTTTGTGTAAACATTTTTTAATAACAGCAGTCTTTTTTTAAAATTTCACACAGAGTGAATCAGTTTGAAATTCACACAAGGTGAATCTGTGTGAATCTGGGGCTCAGACTGGCCAGGGGTCTGCAGTTGGTTGGTCATCGCTGACCAGACCTGGGCTCCAACCCCAGTTCCCCATCTATCAGTTTTTTTTCTTTTCTTTCCTTTTCTTCTTTTCTTTCTTTCTTTTTTTTTAATGTTCTTTTCTTTTTTGAGATAGAGTCTCACTCTGTCACCCAGGCTGGAGTGTAGTGGTGTGATCTTGGCTCACTGCAGCCTCTACCTCCTGAGTTCAAGTGATTCTCATGCCTCAGCCTTCTGAGCAGCTGGGACTACAGATGCATGCCACCATGCCTGGTTAGTTTTTATATTTTTAGTAGAGACTGGGTTTCACCATGTTGGCTAGGCTGGTCTTGAACTCTTGGCCTCAAGTGATCTGCCTGCCTCTGCCTCCCAAAGTGCTGGGATTACATCTGTGAGCCACTGTGCCTGGCACCACCATTCTATGAGCTACAGCTGGTGATTTGACTTCTCCAGCCTTCAGTTTTCTTGTATAAAATAAAAATTAGTTTCCATCTTCTAGCATCATTTTGAGGTTTAAATGACGTAATGCTTATAACTGCTCAACCTGGGAGCTACAGTGTACACTTAGTAATTGATATCTATAAATATAGAAGTCAGTCCAATTGGAGTTGGAATACAAGCACCACTTTTTGCCCTTTCTCCCAAGAAAGGGTGACTCTTGAATTCTTTTCTGAGGGCATGGGGGTACTTTTTCTAAGCACCTTCTTTCATTCATAAAAAAGGTAGTTGTAAAGAACTGTGACGATTTTGGCTTTATGAGCCATAATTTATAAGTAAAAATGACAAGAAGGAACTTGACTCATATTTAGTGATTTCTGGCATCTGATTAATCTCTTGGACAGGATTATGAATCAATGTAAGTAAAGGCCTTATTTGCATTAAGGCCTTTGGAATAATCACTGCTAAAGCAGGATTTTAAAAGTTGTGATAACACTCTAACAGTTTTTTTTTGAGATGGAGTTTTGCTCTTGTTGCCCAGGCTGGAGTACAGTGGCATGATCTCGGCTCACTGCAACCTCTGCCTCTTGAGTTGAAGTGATTCTCCTCCCTCAGCCTCTTGAGTAGCTAGGATTCCAGGCACAAGCTACCACACCAGCTAATTTTTCGTATTTTAGTAGAGACTGGGTTTCACCTTGTGGGCCAGGCTGGTATTGAACTCCTGACCTCATGATCTGCCCACGTTGGCCTCCCAAAGTGCTGGGATTACAGGCATGAGCCACTGCACCCGACCACAAACCCCATATTAAATTAGAGATACAAGTGCTTATTTGCAGCTGACGGGAAAATTTTGGACTCTTGATTGTAACGTAAGATCTGCTGGGACCAAGAGCACATATTAGAAGTTCACTTTGTAACTCAAAGAAAAGATCCCGTATACATGTCTTTACTTAGCTGAATCAAGTATCATGGATGTGCCAATCTTTCATTAGCATCTCAGCATTTACTCAGAACACATACATACCACTGATGTGAACGGCCTCAGTTACATATGTAAGTCCTCACTGGTTAGCCTAAAATAGCCATGCCAGCAACTGTGGGTATGAATCTGACACACACATTTGTATCTTAAAATTGTTACATTGTAAGCTGGGTGCGGTGGCTCATACCTGTAATCCCAGCACTTTGGGAGGCCAAGGCAGGCAGATCACCAGAGGTTGGGAGTTCGAGATCAGCCTGACCAACATGATGAAACTCCGTCTTTACTAAAAATACAAAAGTAGCCAGGCCTGGTGGCTCATACATGTAATCCCAGCTACTTGGGAGGCTGAGGCAGGAGAACTGCTTGAACCCAGGTGGCAGAGGTTGCAGTGAGCCCAGATCTCACTGCTGCACTTCAGGTTGGCGACAGAGCAAGACTCTATCTCAAAAAAATTAAGGTGGGGGGGGTTTGTGAAAGAGGATCTCTATCTGTAAAATTTTAAAGTATCTTGCTGTTTTCTTCATTTGGTCACATACCTATGCCTGTCTCTTAGCCATCACTTCCTTTTTAATTCTTCAACATTTAATTAGAATTTAATTCGCAGCTTGTATTGACTCCTGAGATGTTTGAAGTTCAGTTGCATTTTGGTAAAATGTCATTTGGGCATAAAGTTTTTGTAACCAGAATCCAAAACTTTGAAATTACTAATAATTGGATCCAGGCTGTGTAGAAAAACTTATTTCATATTTTCCATTGAAAAAGATATTTCTGTCTTCCACAAGGAAGTTCCTGTTACAGCTCAGTTGACTGGTTACTAGTCAGCTGAAGTAACTTGTTTGAAATAACTAAGAACCAATTATTGGGTTTTCAACAAAATTACTAAAAATCCTATTTTTCTATTTCTTTGTCATTTAATGTTATAAAGGAAAAAAATGTCTTTCCATTCAGTCAAAATTAAATTTTACACGTCTCTCTGCCTCCTTTGGCCTTGAATTCCATGTTTTTTCCTTTACATTCCGGGGGGAGGGGGTATGCCCAAGTAGGTTATATTAAATTTTCTTAATGCTTAGACTTTATATTGGCTGGGTGTGGTGGCTCATGCCTATCCCAACACTTTGGGAGGCGGAAGCAGGGGGATCACCTGAGGTCAAGAGTTTGAGACCAGACTAACCAATAAGGTAAAACCCTGTCTGTACTAAAAATATGAAAATTAGCTGAGCACAGTGGCATGTACCTGTAGTCCCAGCTACTCAGGAGGCAGAAACAGGAGAATTGCTTGAACCCAGGTGGCAGAGGTTGCAGTGAGCTGAGATCATGACACTGCACTCCAGCCTGGGCGACTCTTTGAGACAAAGCAAGACTCTGTCTCAAAAAAAAAAATTCTTAGACTTTATATTTCATAATTGTGTTTACAGAAACGCAAGCAGTGTTAATTTTGGCATTAGGAATGAACAAAGAAAACAATGACAACCACAACAACCATGATTTGCTCTTGTTCATGCATCTCTTCAGAGCTGTTTGATTCCCAGGTTTCTCTTTCATTATAGACTACAATAAATCAAAATATTTGAACTTTACAAGTATGACAGGATTTTGCTTTATTTTTAATTTTTTAAATTTTTATTTATTTTTTTTGAGACGGAGTTTCGCTCTTGTTACCCAGGCTGGAGTGCAATGGCGTGATCTCGGCTCACTGCAACCTCCGCCTCCTGGGTTCAAGGAATTCTCCTGCCTCAGCCTCCTGAGTAGCTGGGATTACAGGGACGCGCCACCATGCCCAGCTAATTTTTTGTATTTTTAGTAGAGACGGGGTTTCACCATGTGGACCAGGATGGTCTCGATCTCTTGACCTCGTGATCCACCTGCCTCGGCCTCCCAAAGTGCTGGGATTACAGGCTTGAGCCACCGCGCCCAGCCTTAAATTTTTTTTTAATTTTGGGAATCTGGTCTCAGTCAGGAGTTTTGCAGGTGGAACACCTCTGATTTAGAACTCATGTTGGTAGCAATAAGCTCTGTGCTGTGATACAAGTGGTAAGAGCTGATCTCTCATAGGTGCAGTTTCCTCATTTGTAAAGTGAGGGTGTTAAACCAGGTGTTATAAATTTCTTCCTATTCAAAAATCTCTTCTTCTCCCAGATAACATATGTTGATTACTTTGAGAGTGAATTTTCACTAGAAGTAGAATTCGGTTATATTATTAGCATCCTTTGAAAGAAGTAATACTGAAATGTAAATACGGGCCAGTTTGGTGGCTCACACCTGTAATCCCAGCACTTTGGGAGGCTGATGTGGGTGGATCATCTGAGGTCAGGAGTTTGAGACCAGCCTGACCACATGGAGAAAACCTGTCTCTACTAAAAATACAAAAATTAGCCGGGCATGTTGGCACATGCCTGTAATTCCAGCTACTTGGGAGGCTGAAGCAGGAGAATCACTTGAACCCAGGAGGCAGATGTTGCTGTGAGCTGAGATCGTGCCATTGTACTCCAGCCTGGGCAACTCCATCTCAAAAAAAAAAAAAAGAAAAGAAAGAAAGAAAAGAAAGGTAAATATAACTGTCTTTTTTTTTTTTTTAAGTTCCATCAATTTTTAAAAATTCTTTGAGTGAGAGAATCCAGAAAGATGGAATCTAGGAGAGGAAAGCAGCTTCCACACTGAGTAGAAGGGAATAGAGAGAGATGGAGTTTAGGAGGGGAAGACAGGCTTCCAAGAGAGAATGTTCATGGAAGGGGACTCCAGAGGGAAAATCCAGGAGAGAGAAAAACAGCTTCCACAAAGGGAGTGTTCGTGGAAGGGGATCCAAACATGAAGTCCCAATATAACTGTTTTTTAAGCAGATGTAGTTTAGTGGAGTAAGTAGTGTGCCTAATGTAGTCAGGCAATAAAGCAGAACACAGGCCGCATGAAGGATGGAGTTTTACAAGTATGGGGGGTGCATTTTAGTGTATGTATGTTATGCTTTAATACATTTAAAAGGAGAAATATTATGTGCATGTTAAGGCTTGGAAGGGTATTCATTAGAATGTTCATCATACCTCTGTGTGGTAAGAGGTTATGAATGCCTTTTGTATTTTTCTTATAGTGTTTTGTGGTTTTTAAATGTCTCCAATGAACATTTTTAGTCATAAAAATGGGAAATGTACAGTAACGTCTAGAGGGAGAAAAAGGCAGACTCACAGAGCTTCTTACAAAGTGCCCTGGAATGCTTTACCCCAAAGAAAAACACCCTGGCTTCAGAGGGGTAATGGACAGGTTTGGATGTTTAATGGAACTGATGATCTTTTGCAGCAGATACTAAAAGAGAGGGTGTTCAGGTTTGATCACTGAGATAGAAATGGGATGAAGCAGCATAAGAATTATGAGTGGTGTCTGCTGGGGATGGCAAATGGTTCTCCCTGCAAGAGTTGCCAGAACAGCTCATGGCCATTTGCTGAAGTAACAGCCTGATTCTTGCTGGAAGCTTTTGGCGTTTTTTTTTTTTTTTTTTTTTTTTAAGGAATCTTCCAGATTTTGAAGGTGTATTTAGCAAGACCAGGTGGTGCAGCTACTATGGCTATCTTGACAGGTGGCAGTGAGTAACCTCCTCAGACGAAATCAAAGATTGATGTGGTTTTTGTTTTTTAAGCAACAAAAACAAAAACCTTGGGTGCCTTGGATTTACTGGGGGTTTCTGGTGTCTTTGATGACACACGATGTCTCGGAACAAAAATTTTACCTTTGACCAATGCTAGTTAATATTCTTATCACTTGATCACTGAGTTAGTACCCTGTGCTACTGGGTTAAGAGTCTTGCTGAGACTCACTCTCTTATAAATTCACATCTGAGTGTTAATTCCTTTCCCCCAATTACCTGGCCTTCTGCATTTTTTTTTAAACAAACAATGCCCAAGTTATTAAGCAATTGTTTTGTTTCAAATCACTTTTTTTTTTGAAGAATTAAAACTATCTTTATTCTCAGATGGCATGATCTTATATGAAGAAGATCTCAAAGAATTTGCCAAAAAGCTACTATAATTATTACATTTATTAAACATTGCAGGATACAAAATTAACACACAAAAATCATCTGTGCTTCTATAAACCAGCAGTGAGCAGTCCTAAAAGGAAACCAAAAAAATTCATTTACAATAGCACCCAAAAGAATAAACTATCTGGGAATAATTTTTTTTTTTTACTATATATTGCTTTTTAAAAAAATACTTTAAGTTCTGGGGTACATATGCAGCTCGTGCAGGTTTGTTACATAGGTATACACATGCCATGGTGGTTGCATTCATTCCCCCTGTCATCTACATTAGGTATTTCTCCTAATGTTATCCCTCCCTAATTCCCCCAAACCCTGCTATCCCCCCTTAGCCCCTGCTCCCTCAAATTACTCTGAAATGTTGAAAATTGGTTGATTTAATGTAAATAATTACTTTAGGTTTAAAAAAGTTCATGTCAGATACACACACAGACTCCACACTGTGTAAGATCCTCCCAACACTGCCCTGGCATTTAACATGGGATAAGTGGGTGATGGTGGTGGTGCTACAAATCATCCCTCTTTAGTATCTGACAGTTTTCCAAGCAGTAGTCAACCTCTGATGTATTATTTGGGCTTTTGAGGCCCACGTCTTTAACAGAACAGATTTGGCTACCTTCAGACATGCCCTGTTTATTTTGATAGTGAACCTGAAAATAAAAATGAAATTTTAAATTTAATTGTTCTCATTCTCCCTACGCTCTAGACTGTACCACTTACTTGAATCCAATGGGGAAGCACATGATTGCTGACGCGCAGAACATCACCATCAGCCAGTATGCTTGCCATGACCAAGTGGCAGTCACCATTCTTTGGTCCCCAGGGGCCCTTGGTGAGTGGTCAAAAATTGAGTGCATAGTGGTGACCTGGATGGATAGTGCCCAGTGCAAAGCTCCCACATGATGGGAACCAGGCAGGTCTTGATGGGAGTGAGGCTTACGTTGGATTTGGCACAGATACACTATAAACTTTGTTGCATGTATTTGCTGGGCATACACATGGCTTGAGTCCTTGCCCCATGGTCTTTTGTTTCTTCTATTATTGTTAGTCACTTGGGCTTGAAAAATAATATTGCATGAGTAATAAATGGCACTGAGGTCTTCTTGGCCTCTACCTCAGCACTAGTCGGGGGTGGGAGGGCAGCAGTGCCAGGAAAGCCCATGGCCCATCCATGGTCATAATGGCCATTCAGCATTAGCAGTCTCTGTAGACACAGAGACATGCTAGCCCGGCATTGGCACATGTTACGATTTTTCAGGAAAATCCCAGTGTTCATGTAAAACAATGAAATCAATGAATTTTTAAATGTTGGCAACAAATTGATTTTTTTTTTTGAGACAGAGTTTTACTCTTTCGCCCAAGCTGGAGTGTAGTGGCATGATCTCGGCTCACTGCAACCTCTGCCTTCTGGTTTCAAGCAATTCTTCTGCCTCAGACTCCCATGTAGCTGGGATTACAGGTGCCCACCACCATGGCCAGCTAATTTTTGTATTTTTAGTAGAGACAGGGTTTCACCATGTTGGCCAGGCTTGGTCTCGAACTCATGACCTCATGATCCGCCTGCCTCAGCCTCCCAAAATGCTGGGATTACAGGTGTGAGCCACCGTGCCTGGCTTGAATTTTTATTTAAATTCTGTAGGAGCCAAAAAAACAAAATGAAAAAGAAACAAACAAACAAAAAAGCAGACCAAGCATGGTGGCTTACACCTGTAATCTCAGCACTTTTGGGAGGCCAAAATGGGAGAATTATTTGAGGCCAGGAGTTTGAGACTAGCCTGGGCAACAAAGTGAGACCCCATTTCTATAAAAAGATTAAAAAATTATCCTGGCATAGTGGCACAAGCCTGTAGTCTTAGTTACTTGAAAGGCTGAGGCAGGAGGATCACTTGCGCCTAGGGTTTGATGCTGCAGTGAGCTATGATTATTGTGCCATTGCACTCAAGCCTGAGCTACAGAGCGAAACTCTGTCTCTAAAAAACAAAACAGGCTGGGTGTGGTGGCTCATGCTGTAATCCCAGCATTTAGGGAGGGCGAAGCCGGTCGATCACCTAAGGTCAGGAGTTCAAGACCAGCCTGATCAATGTGGTGAAATCCCATCTCCACTAAAAATACAAAATTACCTGGGCGTAAAGGTGCATGCATGTAATCCCAGCTACTTGGAAGGCTAAGGCAGGAGAAGAGCTTGAATCTGCCAGGCAGAGGTTGCAGTGAGCTGAGAGCATACCATTAGACTCCAGCTTGGGCAACAAGAGCGAAACTCTGTCTCAAAAATAAATAAATACATTAAAAAAAAAAAAACCCAAAAACTAAAGAAAAAAGCAAACCTGTATTATCTGACTAGATTCAGGTTGGGGCTAAATCTGCTTGTCCTCTTGAATGAATCGAAGATACACAGGAAAGAATGGGTTAGCCAAGCATGAAACGTGGGAGGGACCACTTGTTCAGACAGGCCTGGGTTTGAACCCCCAGAATTGATCTTTCACATGAGATATTTAACCTCACTGAGCCCCACCTTCCCTATATGAAGTGTAGAGATGAGAACTGCCTCACAGTTAGAGACACCCATGATACATTTTCGGAGCACTCTCAAAGAATATTGGCTGCTATTACCATGATCAGAACCTGGTTCTTGGGCCTGCCGCTTTGATGCTACCATCTGATGTTACAAATCCTGTAATTTTACTTCTCCCTGTAAAATCCTGGCCAAGGGAGAAGTAAAATAAAGTCTGAATTTCTTAATCTGAACAGGTTAAATCTCAGAAGAACCAGATTGCAGGAAGGTTGTGTGCAGGAGAGGGAGGATGGAGCAGACCCATGGGCAGAACCACGTCTCCATATCAATACTTCTGGGTTTTAACCCACTGGGGTTTCCAAAAATAATATTATCTTAACATTTAAAGATTAAAAACATTTTCTGTAGATAAAAGGGAAGTGGTCATTCCATGTAAGGCTTAAATGGTTAAGGAGTTAGCCTGACGAATTGCAGGCCACCTCATTAGAATGATAGTAAGAGATGTGAGCTGATGGCAGGAAAACTGACATGGAACAGGCTTTTCTTGGATGATGCTTTATGGGTGGGAGTGGCTGGAGAGTTTCTGTTACATTCTATCAAGGACACTTCTTGGAAGGTAGAAAAGCATATGAGTTAAGAGAACTGGCTGAGAGCCACTTCCTGGGTTCAAATCTCACCTCTGCCATTTTATTTCTGTGTGACCCTGGGCAAACCAATTGGCTGCTATAAACCTCAGTTTCCTCATCTGTAAAATGGGGATAATAATACCTTCCTCCTCTGGTTGTTGGGAGGATTTGATGAGTTTAAATGATGGGAGAGAGAGCAAATAAGTTCTTTCATGGGAAGCTGCTCTATAAAATTGCTAATCATTACATAACTACAAGGTGTTAATAGTACTATAATGTGTTAAAGTGATAAAGGAATTACGTTTGCTGCCTCTTTGCTCAGCCCCAGAACCTTGGCATGGTGGTTTTTAGGCTAATCTTTTAAAAAGAAGAACAAGAACCACCCCTTGCCACCTCAGCTGATGAATTTTTTATATAATTGTGAGATGTATGGCTGTTAATCATATTAATCACCTGGCTTTTGTAAAATAGTCATTCTGGGAATGTTGCATAAATGAAATCTTAGGATTAATACTGAGGATTTGTTTTAAAAAACTTGTTTTGAATTAGCCAGGTGTGGCGGCATTTGCCTGTAGTCCCAACTCCTCGGGAGGCTGAGGCAAGAGAATTTCTTTTTTTTTTTTTTTTTTTGAGATGGAGTTTCGCTGTTGTTACCCAGACTGGAGTGCAATGGCACGATCTCGGCTCACTGCACCCTCCGCCTCCTGGGTTCAAGCAATTCTCCTGCCTCAGCCTCCCGAGTTGCTGGGACTACAGGCACGCACCACCATGCCCAGCTAATTTTTGTATTTTTAGTAGAGATGGGGTTTCACTTTGTTGACCAGGATGGTCTCGATCTCTTGACCTCGTGATCCACCCGCCTCGGCCTCCCAAAGTGCTGGGATTATAGGTGTGAGCCACCGCACCTGGCCAAGAGAATTTCTTGAACTCGGGAGGCAGAGGCTGCAATGAGCCGAGATCGTGCCACTGCACTCCAGCCTGGGAGACAGAGCAAGACTCTGTCTCACAAAACAAAAACAAACAAACTAAAAAAACCTTTTTTTTTTTTTTTTTGTATCTCAAAAGGCAAGTCTTGTGAGATCTAAATAGTTGTTGGTCTAACGACCTTGTCATCACCTTGTCTGAATCTCTGGTGGTTGGTCATCTGGCTTTCATCCCAACAGGAAGCTTTGTAATTGAAATACAACATGGCAGAGTCTGTACCTGTGCACAATAATGCTCTGAAACCCTAAAACGTGAAGCTCTAATTGTTGCTTCTCTGCCGTTCCCACCATGAAATATGTATTCTTCATCAAATAATTATAGGATTGGAGGACCTATTTGAAAGAGAAAAAGATTTTCCTGGCCTTTATCATCAATAAATTTCCCACCTCCTTAATTGCATCCTGTGTAATTACTTTTGTCCTGGGAGGGGAAGGGTTGAAAATGTTCAGAAAGAATGTGAAATCGATATCTCTCCAATTGCTGGGGCTCTCCAGCTGCAGTTGGACCACTTCAGTCTCCATGGGATACACAGCCCTGGTGCTGGCTCTTGTGGCCATCAGAGCTTAATCCTTTTGAAAGCATCTAGTCGGACGTGCAGTGGGGGGAGCTCAGGTGGCAGGAGGCTGGGCTGGTGCCTTTCAGTGGCGCTGTGGGTGTCTCGGGGCCTCAGAGACTGTATGAAGAGCACACACTGGGCAGCCCTTGGGTGTCTGCCTTTCAGGCATGATTAGAGCAAGAACCGCTTTGTAAATCACATAGGCATTCCCCTAAGCTATTTAATCTCAAGCCTCAGAACCCCTTGGGTCCAGACACAATTTGTTGGGAATTTTGTATGTTGCTCAGTGAGACGTGCCAAATAATATAGAGCTAAAACTTGAAGTGGAAACATGGTTTTGGGGGATTCCCTAATCAACACTGGGAATTATCAGCTGAATGTACTCTGCGTAATGACCTAGAAATTATATATTCCACTTCAGGCTTTTTATGATAAATTGTAACTGGAGTCTAAATATTTAAACCCTAATGCCAGAGAGGCAATGGGTATTTATGAAATAGCTGGCTGGATTAGGGATTAATTAGTAATGGTGGGATGGAGAAAATCACCTGGTCTTTACCAGAGGAATGCAGGGGATATGTTTTTTCCATTCTATAGACTCAGATACCTTAGCCAGAGTTAGAATTCCTTTAACTCTGGTGTGTAGGTAGAGCAGATGGTAATCTTGGAGGAAGGAGAATCTGTTCAGAAGTAATTGGTTCACTATTAATAAAAGCATTCTCCTTTGCTTAGGCATTGAATTCCTGAAAGGATTTCGGGTAATACTGGAGGAGCTGAAGTCGGAGGGAAGACAGTGCCAACAACTGATTCTAAAGGATCCGAAGCAGCTCAACAGTAGCTTCAAAAGAACTGTAAGTCACACTGGGGAATGTGCTCCTGAAGACATGCCATTGTTCTGGGGGCCTGAATAGTCTATTCAAAGTCTGAAATTTGAGAAGGAGGGGCTGTGGGGTCCACCCCACCCACCAGCATGGGCAAGAATAGTACAGCAGCACCTTGAGCCTGCTCCACGCTCCCAGGGAAACTCTTCAGCACCCCTCTGTATAAACACGCCTCTTGGGTTACTGCTGGAACAGCAATCCTGGAAGGTGTCTTTGTGCTCCGAAGAGTGTATGTGGGCTCACCCTGCCCCCCAACTCTGAGATTCAATATTAACAAGCCATGAATTATTTGCCAAAAAACAGACTACATTGTCCATCTTCATGGTTAAGTAATCCAAACCTCAAGTTGGTCCAGCAACTAGACCTGACTTCCCGCCTTCCCGGAACATGTCCTACAGATCTGGAGTTCTGTCTGGGTGGCAGCTGGGGTAGGAGCGAAGACCTTGTGTAGGTAGAGGGTGGGTAATTTCTCCATGATGTCACTGTGTTTTTGTTCCCTTTTAGGGAATGGAATCTCAACCTTTCCTGAATATGAAATTTGAAACGGATTATTTTGTAAAGGTGGTCCCTTTTCCTTCCATTAAAAATGAAAGCAATTACCACCCTTTTTTCTTCAGAACACGAGGTGAGTGTGGTCTTTCCTGCCTGGTTCCCATGAGAAGCCTTTTCTCCTGTTTTTAATTACTTTTCTGCAGAAATGTGTTCAAGAACATGTCAAGGCCAGGCACGTGGGTTACGCCTGTAAATCCTAGCACTTTGGGAGGCTGAGGAGGGTAGATCACAAGGTCAGGAGTTTGAGACCAGCCTGGCCAACATGGTGAAACCCTGTCTCTACTAAAAATACAAAAAGTAGCCAAGCATGATGGCAGGCGCCTGTAATCCTAGGTATTTGAGAGGCTGAGGCAGAAGAATCACTTGAACCCTGGGAAGTGGAGGTTGCAGTGAGCCGAGATCATGCCACTGTACTCCAGCCTGGGTGACAGAGCAAGACTTTGTCTCTGTGGAGAAAAAAAAGAACATGCTAAATACTAGTATGAAACAAGCATGGCAAGGAGAAAAGCATCCAGAAAAGCACTTTATAGATTTAAGGTTAGGTACAGACACTGCTCATCTAACCAGATATATCTACTCCTGGCTTACAGAACAGATCTGACAGTTGATATTTTTAAGGATGCTGTGACTACCACTAAGACAGCCATGCATTACCAGGCACTGTGGCACAGGCCTATACTTGCAGCTATTTGGGAGGCTGAGGCAGGAAGATCACTTGAGCCCAGGAGTTTGCGGCCAGCCTGGGCAATTTAGCAAGACCCCATTTCTAGTTAAAAAAGATAGCCGTGGGGCCAGGCGCAGTGGCTGACGCCTGTAATCCCGGCACTTTGGGAGGCTGAGGTGGATGGATCATGAGGTCAAGAGATCAAGACCATCCTGGCCAGTTGGTGAAACCCTGTCTCTATTAAAAATACAAAAGTTAGCCGGGTGTGGTAGCATACACCTGTAGTCCTAGCAACTCGGGAGTCTGAGGCAGGAGAATCACTTGAACCTGGGAGGGGAGGTTGCAGTGAGCCTAGATCATGCCACTGCATTCCAGCCTGGGCAACAGAGCCAGACTCCATCTCAAAAAAAAAAAAAAAAACCTAAAAAAACCAAAAGACAGCCATGTATCAAAGCAATTGGATTAAAGAAAAAAAAAAAAAAAAACAGGAATAAAAAGTGTGTTGATTTTGTGGTAAAGGGCAGGAACATGAAATCCATCTTTTACCTGTTATCAGGAGGGTGGCCTGTCATTTTTAGGACTAGATTAAGAAAAAATTATTTTCTAGAAAGTTCTGTTTATTTAATGTCTATGTGCAAGGCCCTGTTCTAAATGCATTCCAAATATTAACTCCAAACAACCTCTGTGACAACCCTACAAAAAATTTAATTGTACTATCTCCACTTACTAGATGTCAAATCACACACAGAGAAGGTGAAGGGATTACAGGGAGTTGGATTTGAACCCCGGAAGTCTGACTCTGGAATCCACGCTCTGAGCTCAACCACCAACTGTGCTGGGTCGATCACCTTCTGTTCTGTACAGGGTATCTCTTTAATCTTCTGAGTTGCTTCTTGCTTTTTCTTTTTTTTTTGAGACAGAGTTTTGCTCTTATTGCCCAGGCTGGAGTGCAGTGGCACGATCTCGGCTCACCACAACCTCTGCCTCCTGTGTTCAAGCCTTTCTCCTTCCTCAGCCTCCTGAGTAGCTGGGATCACAGGCATGCACCACCATACCCGGCTAATTTTGTATTTTTAGTAGAAATGGGGTTTCTCCATGTTGGTCAGGCTAGTCTCAAACTCCCAACCTCAGGCGATCCGTCTGCCTTGGCCTCCCAGAGTGCTGGGATTACAAGCACAAGCCACTGGAACCAGTGCTGCTTTCAAACTTTGGTGGCTGGTCATCCTGCAACCAGTAGCAGCTCCTTCTTGCCTTCCTGATCAGTCTTTCTGTCATTCAAGGCCTTGGATTGTCAGTCCTGTCTGACATCCCCTCCTGTGAGGTCTGGTTGCAGTCCTCATCCTTTACGATGTTTCTGTTTGCAACTCAAGCCTACACCAATGTCTCCCTCTGCAGAATTCTTACTGTGGTTGTTTTCTATGCATCAAAGTTATTTTAACAATTGGTCTCATTTCTTAAAATAAGATTTCATAAGGCAAAGACCATGTGTATGTCATATCATCTCTGGATGACTTGCACATAATAACCAGATAGAAGATTCAAAGACTGTATTTATGAAAGCCTCACCTAAATCAAAATTAGCATAATTTAAGATAAATTTTTCCCATTGGCATAGAATCAATGTGTCTGTTTGGGGGTAAGGTGGAAGCAGGGTGTGTGTTCCTGGAATGTCAACATTTATCACCATTTCAGTGCACTGTGGTTTTGATGCTGCCTTCAGTTTTCTTGGCATTATATGGAGACACTCCCTGGGTTAGCAAGTAGTATGACACAGTGGACTAGCTGTTTGGCCTCTCTCATTGTGTTTTTATTGCGTTTAGATTCTGTTTCAAAGCTATTGGCTTTGGTACCTGGTTTTCAGTGCTGACACTACTACTTCTATGCCTGCATGTCATTTTGAGAAACCATCAAAAGCATTTTAAATTAGAATATTAGTGAAGGTTAAAATAATCCTATAGCAGCTACTAGGACCACTCCACAGTTCTCTTGTGCCTAAACATCTCTGCAATGGGGAGGGGCTGGCATCATTTCTGTTTACAGCTGAAACAGAGCCTCCATGTGACTGTAGCGTGAACATAGCTCTGCTGCCCTTGGCCACAAGCCTTGAAATTATGTAATGCCTGACAAGCTTTTAGAATCTGGGTGACTTTACACTGTTACCATTTATGTGGCGTAAAGTAAATTGCATTAATATTTTTATATTGTACCATTTAAATTTTCATAAGATACAACTGTACAGTAGTGAAAATCATCGTTGAATTTGATGTATTTTATACCTTTTCTAGCATCACCCAGCACAGAATCTTTATATTTCACTGGGTTGTTGGGAGAAGAAAATGCTAAACTGTCCTAAAACTAAAAACATGTGTCTTTATTGTCTTAATAGCTTGTGACCTGTTGTTACAGCCGGACAACCTGGCTTGTAAACCCTGTAAGTAATAGTGTTCTCATCTATCAAGTCCCAAAGTGTTGCCACTGTGATGGTGTTGGGGTAGCCTCTGGGTACTCACTCTGGGTCCTACCTCCTTCCAGTCTGGAAGCCTCGGAACCTGAATATCAGCCAGCATGGTTTGGACATGCAGGTGTCCTTCGATCACGCACCGCACAACTTCGGCTTCCGTTTCTTCTATCTTCACTATAAGCTCAAGCACGAAGGACCTTTCAAGAGAAAGACCTGTAAGCAGGTGAGCTGCTGGGTGTACATAAAGGAACACTGTGTGTTTTAAAGTGACCCCCGCCTTGGGCCACTGGAATTTGGGTTGATTAAGGTGAGCATTAGGCTTTGTTGGCTCTCAGTGGTTAGAAGTGGTGTTTTAGAAATTTACAACACTAAAATTTCACCACTTTGTTTCCTCTCAGTGGTCAGTAAATACTCGAGAATGTAATCACTGGGCATGTCTCAGGGCCGTCTTGCCACTGTCCTTTTCTCCCTAGTTATCTATAACCCAGATGTCCTGGTGATGATATAGCCTGGTAACAGTATTGCCAAGGAATAAACAAGAATTAAGTATTTCTCATTTGTCCATATATATATACACATAGATACACACACACACACACATATGCTTTTTTTGTTGTATTTTTTGAGATGAAGTCTTGCGTTGTCACCCAGGCTGGAGTGTAGTGATGTGATCTTGGCTCACTGCAACCTCCGCTTCCTGGGTTCAAGGAATTCTCCTGTCTCAGCCTCTGCGGTAGCTGTGATTAGAGGCGCATGCCACCATGCCCAGCTAATTTTTGTATTTTTAGTAGAGATGGTTTCATCATGTTGCCAAGGCTGGTCTCTAACTCCTGACCTCAAGTGATCCGTCCATCTTGGCCTCCCTAAGTGCTGGGATGACAAGCATGAGCCACCATGCCTGGCCTGTCCTTTTGTTTTAAACATTCGTCAGGTGCTCACTGTGTGGCAGGCCCTGAGCTTTATGCTCCTTGAAGCCACACCACTTTGTGAAACAGAGGCTGTTGTCATCTCCATTTTACAGATGGGAAAGCTGAGGCTCAGGGAGGTCACCTGGCTTGCTCAAGGCCACACAGCTAGTAAGTGGAAAAACCAGATCTAGGAGCCAAGCCACTGTTAACTCAGTGGCTACTGATTTTACAAATAGGCCAAGGTTAAATAGACATTGAGTAACTAAGCCCTTAAACTGGGGTGATCAGAAGAGTGGAAAGTGTTTCATGGATGTTCAAAGGACTGTCCGATCACCCACTGTGGGCACCAATAAAATTTTTGGTTGTGGTGACAAAGCCCAGTACCTCCTTAGACAAGCTCCTGTGTATGCTGGGTTCTGTCGCTGTTTGTTCTCCTTGCTGGCTGTCATCTCCATCAAGGTCTTTGACCTTCTGCCCATGTTAAAATTGTGGCAAATAAAATATGTATAAACACAGACTGGTAATTTCTTTCCCCACCCTTTTATTAAGTAAAGGTTATTCAAACTAGTTTCTTTGTCTTGAAATCAAATATTCCTGCTGAGGGTGCCACCAGCTGCATAGACTATGGCCGGGGTCCTGGGCTGTCCTGGGCCTCTTATCAAAGGGAAGTTCAGATAACATGTGGCAGATAAACACAGTTGCTTTCTGACCTAATCACCTTTTGTGAAAACTGTGGTTGAGAATGGTGGCAAGTGTCCTTCAGCTCTTGGGGAGAAGAGATGTCCTGATGACCTTTGTCTAAAAGGTGAGTTTTTAAAGTGTTCTTTGGTCTGTTGCAGGAGCAAAATACAGAGATAACCAGCTGCCTCCTTCAAAATGTTTCTCCAGGGGATTATATAATTGAGGTATGCATAACACAAGAAAGCCCTATTAATCCTATAGAATGAACCCAGTTCATAGAGAATTCCAGCTGTTTACAACACTAAAATTTCAAGCCATTGAAGGTGTGCACAGTTATATTTTTATATGGTTCTTAACATGCTTTTAAAAAAAGTTTATATATAATTGATCTTTGATCTTTTCATTAAATATTTCTAATAAATATTTTTATGTAATCATATGGTCTGTATATAACTGTGGCTTAAAATCTCTAGTATTCCTTCATACTACAAAGATATATTTTTAAGATTTTGGCTTAACATTTTTTTTGTTTTTGTATGAAAACAGCAAAATAAGTTATGCCCATTATTTTTGCCTACCCTCCTCTGTTTCTGTTGCTAATGTATGTAAGTATAAATAAGTTCTAAACACCACTTCAGAGAACATGTAAATGTAACGTTTCATTTCCTTTTTAAGATTTCTTTTCCAGTATCGAATTGGTACTACAAATATTAGAGTATAAGGAAAATAGAAAAGGAAATTAACAATGTGTCCACAGTCCTACCATTCAAAGACAATCAACATGTCTTAACATTTTGTTAGAAACACCCAGTTCTTGCATTCCTTGGAAGCAGTGTGTGGTTTTAGACTGACACACCCTCTTAAAGCATAAATGGAAGCTCAGTAAAATCAGTGGGAGGATGTCAGTTTAATTGAACATGATTAGAATATGAAACTCACCAGCTGACTTCTTCAATGAATACATAGCGTTTTTATTAATAAAAGAAAACATGATGAAGTTTAGAGTTTAGAGCTGGGAAAGCAGAGATGAACCTGAGTACACATGATGCCTAGTCTCAGTCTGGCAGATGATTACAGGCTCCAGCAGCTCTTTTCCTTCAGCTGTTCTCCTGTACATGCTTCCCACCCCTTCCCGCACTGCCCACTGATGGAAAAAATGAATGAAATTACCATTTTTCCTACTTACCTGGTATATATCACTTTAAAAAAAATGCAGCATCCTTTGTTTTGCAGCTGGTGGATGACACTAACACAACAAGAAAAGTGATGCATTATGCCTTAAAGCCAGGTAGGTATTTTTGTTTGTTTGTTTGAAATTTTGGCCCTAGACTACTCTAGACCAAGGTATTTGATATTCTTTATACTTCATGGTTTATAGAAACAAAACAAAATTCGTCTCCTCTCTCTTAAAAGATGTTCCATCCAATCTGACTTTCCTTCCACTCTAATGTGGATACCTGGAAGATTAAAGCCAGTTTGGTGTGTTTAGCTGGGACTGGATAAATAGTCAATTGTCCTCTGAAGAAAAGTGGTGGGAGGGGAGGTTTCCTTAGGCAAAATTCTCACTCAAAGGTATTTAATCTCCCAGCCTGACTCTTAACTGTTGAATAGTTCTTTGCAACTCTTAAAAAATGAACCTTTGAATCCTTTTATAATCACCAAACCAGCACTAGAGAAAGGTGGTTGGAAGGTCCTAGAACCTGTTATGTGGCTTATGTTTAAAAAGAAAAACAGTTGTTGCTCTTTGAACCTTTACACTGCTTAAGTTTAAAGCTTTCCCTTTGAAATTTCCCAGTGCATTCCCCGTGGGCTGGGCCCATCAGAGCCGTGGCCATCACAGTGCCACTGGTGGTCATATCGGCATTCGCGACGCTCTTCACTGTGATGTGCCGCAAGAAGCAACAAGGTATCTCTTTGAGTGCTGTCTCTCCCCACAAGAAGGGGCAGACCAGGGGTTGCTGCCAACAGAGAGGGAGACTGGGAGTACCTGGGTCCTCCAGGCTGGCACCTGGGAAGCCTCATATTCTATTCAATTCCCAGAACTAAAATATTTGGCTTTTAACCTCAGGAGCCACTAGAAAGACAGGCATCATTTTATACACACACACACACACACACACACACACACACATTTTTGAGACGGGGTCTTGCTTGTTGCCCAGACTAGAATGCAGTGGCACAATCATAGCTCACTGCAGGCTTACGCCATCCTCCCACTTCAGCCCCCTGAGGATCTGGGACTACAGGCATGCACCACCATGCCTTGCTAATTAAATAATATTTTTTTGGTGTGTGTAGTGATGGGGTCTCACTATGTTGCCTAGGCTGGTCTTGAACTCCTAAGCTCAAGCAATCCTCCTGCCTCAGTCTCCCAAAGTGCTGGGATTACAGGCATGAGCCACTGTGCCTGGCCCATAATTCTATTTTCAAACATAGGATAGTAAATTCAGGGACATAAAGGAAGCCTGAAGTATGAGTATGGATATAGGCAGGGCTTGATCATTTACAAAAGTCAGCATGAGACAACCTTCTGAGGAGTTGGAAATGATCCATCGCTTGTTCTGGATGAGGGTTACACAGTTGTGTATTTCCATAAAAATTCACTGAGATGTACACTTAAGGTTTATGTACTTTACTTTTATAAATTATACCTCAATAAAAACTCTTGTAAAAAATATCAGCTCTGCCAGTGCTTGATTGGTCTAGTAGGTGCACTTGGCTGTAAGAGTCAGTTCTGGGCACTCTGCTAACCAGGGTGGCCCCTGCAGCATTTCTTAGTTTATCCAAGGTGAGTTTCAGGTGAAGAACAATTTTTTTTTAACCATTTGTTGCTCCACTGCAGAAATCAGCTGTCCCATTCCAAGTGATGACCCAAGCGGCTGATGGAGTTGGGGACTGGGACTGCTCTAGGTAGACATGTCAACTGTTCTTTCTTGAAGATAGCACTGGGTTCCAAGTCTTAGGGAACAGAACAAAGCATTGCTTGTAGGTATCAACTCTATCTTCTTTTCCAATTTAGAAAATATATATTCACATTTAGATGAAGAGAGCTCTGAGGCTTCCACATACACTGCAGCACTCCCGAGAGAGAGGCTCCGGCCGCGGCCAAAGGTCTTTCTCTGCTATTCCAGTAAAGATGGCCAGAATCACATGAATGTTGTCCAGTGTTTCGCCTACTTCCTGCAGGACTTCTGTGGCTGTGAGGTGCGGAATCTAAAGTTCCTTCTCTTACCCTGGCCAAAACACTTGCCCTGTACTCTCTCCCTGCTGCCTTCTCCTCTCCTCTGGGCCTCCTGTGGTGACACCTGCCCTTGACTGGTACCACAGCTTTCAAACTGGGGATAGTCTCACACTCTTTTTTCAGTCTGTCCTACTCATCACTAGCACTAAATATTTTATAATACTTAGTTGTAACTCTGACACACTCCTGCTTTAAGGCCTTGAGTGGCACCTCCCTGGCATTAGGAAGACCAGTAGCTTCCATGGAAACACGCAATTGCGGTTAAGGAGTGTCATTCAGGACATCTTCGTGGGCATGTTCAGGACAGAGCCCCATTTGGAGGGTCAAAGAGAGTGGCAAGTAAAGCAGTGAATTCACACAATTGTTTGGAGGAGTTCTGCTGAGAAGGGGAATGAAGGATGTGGCTGCCATTAGAGGGGATCTTGAGGTCTAGGGAGAAGTGATAAACAAAGGGCTCTGTGAAGTTGTCTGACCATTGACTGGTGAAATCATGGAGGGGGAGAAACTAGTGATGCAGGAGAGGGCACTGGCCAGAGAAAACAGGGAAGTAGGAAGGGAGCACTCCCAGAAAACAATATTGTGTCAAGCACTCAAATGATCTGCTCTGGTTTATTAGCTGCTCTCTTAAGTTATTAACATGTAATATGTTATTAATATGCTTTTCTATAATGTCATAGTGTGTATTTTTAGAATAAGTCTGAAACTGTTTTTCAGAACCTCTCCATGTGGTGAGGCTGCCCCCTAGTGTCAACATAACATATTACTCTGGCCCAGTTCCCCGCCCGCCCAGTCACGTGAACTCGGTGAGCCTGGTGGATCAGCCTGTGCTGAAAACGAACCGCACTCTAACCAGTAGCAGACAGTTTTCAGATACCACAGACAACCAAGTTTGCTCTACTTCACAACTATTTAACCTCTGGGGAAAACGCTCTTCTAGTTATTAGTGTAATAGTTACTGTAGAAAATTTGGAACTAAAAAGGGATGATAAATAAAACATTGGAATTCCAACCTGATTAAGGAAAATCTGAGATAAAGGAACCCACAGTTCACGTGTGGTTTATTTCCTTCCAGCCTTTTTCTGTATAGGGGAACTCACACATACAGTTTTGCCTTTGGGGCTGATTGAAATAATTTTTGTCATCTCTTAATAATGTTTTACACTATTAATAGTTATATGTAAATTGCAATTTTAAATAGCTACATGAGCCTCCATATTGATTTGCCATAACTGAGTTAATGCAAATACAAATTAAACATGTCAGTGTTCAAAATTGTCCCATTTGTGATGATTTCCCAAGAAAGATGCCTGGAAATGGAATTGTTGGGTCAAAGATAGGAACATTTTTAAAATGCTTGGAATGGCCAGACGCAGTGGCTCATGCATGTAATCCTAGCACTTTGGGAGGCTAAGGTGGGTGGATCACGAAGTCAGGAGTTCAAGACCAGCCTGATCAACATGGTGAAACTCCATCTCTACTAAAAATTACAAAAAAAAGAAAAAAAAATTAGCTGGGCATGGTGGTGCATGCCTGTAATCCCAGCTACTCAGGAGGCTGAGGCAGGAGAATCGCTTGAACCCAGGAGGCAGAGGTTGCAGTGAGCTGAGATCGCACCACTGCATTCCAGCCTGTGCAACAGAGCAAGACTTCTTCTCAAAAAAAAAACAAAAACAGAAAACCCTTGATCTGTTCTCCCACTGAGCTTTTAGCATGTGTAATGTTAGCAAGAATTAAGGAAGGTATAAGACAATTCAGGGTTCTTTTCAGGAAGTGGATGGATGTTGGGGCTTTTCCCCCTTTGGTAACATCTTAGAGGAGAAGAGAACAAAGTCATTTCAGAATCTAAGAGAATGGGGCTGCTGTGTTTGGTCATAGCCACTGGGAATTAATATCTGAACTACAGAAGGAAAGGCACCAACACAACCACCAAGAGATGTTTTCAGCAGAATTAGATGAAAGCGGTCTGAGAAAGTGAAGTCCTCTGAGGGGCCACACATGTCTGGTTTTCTCTCCTTTGTCACCCACCCCCATAATCTCCCTACCAAGACCCCCTTTGGGAGTAAAGTCTTGTCAGTTATCAGCCTTGTAGAGATGTAGTCCTGTAGACCTGTGTGAAGCCATAGAGGAAGGTGCTAGTCACCCCTCTCAGTCACTCAGGGTGACCATGTTACTGCAGTTCACTAGCTTCCTCTCCAGCCTTGGACCAACTGGTAAATAGCATGGTTGAGCATGGTCCTATTTGTCAGTCACTCTCTGGATGTGAGTCAACTATAACTGTGGGTGACTGGCATCCAGGCCTGAGCCTCATCTTCCAGCTCGCTTTGGAGTCACTCATCCACATCCTCCTCTCAGAACCTGCCAGCCTTCTCTCCAGGATCTGCCCCTCCAATCCAGGCATTTCACTCACCAGATCAGCCAACCTCAGTTTCTCTGTCCTGTGCTCTCTGCTACCTCTTGCTTCCTTGAGGATGTCCTATGTAGGGTGTAACTTGGGCAAGGTGCCACAAGTGCTGTGCTTCCATCCCCTCACTTGTAGGGCAGGAGTGGTAATGACTCCATGTAATACTAAAATGAACTGATGGATGGCAAGTCTTTGCAGAGGGACTAGGGTGGTATGACCGTCACCCACGGAACCTTAGCTGTTCCTTGGTATGGGGTAACCTGGAGCTTGCACATAGCTGTGCTAATAAGGGTTAAGGGGCAGAGGAGGTGGCCTCCTTCTGACATTCCCCTTCCTGTTACTTCCTGAGCCTTCTGTATGGGTAAGGTGCCTTGTTCTCTTTCCAGGTGGTTCTGGATCTGTGGGAAGACTTCAGCCTCTGTAGAGAAGGGCAGAGAGAATGGGTCATCCAGAAGATCCACGAATCCCAGTTCATCATTGTGGTTTGTTCCAAAGGCATGAAGTACTTTGTGGACAAGAAGAACTACAAACACAAAGGAGGTGGCGGAAGCTCCGGGAAAGGAGAGCTCTTCCTGGTGGCGGTGTCAGCCATTGCCGAAAAGCTCCGCCAGGCCAAGCAGAGTTCGTCCGCGGCACTCAGCAAATTCATTGCTGTCTACTTTGATTATTCCTGTGAGGGAGACGTCCCTGGTGTCCTAGACCTGAGTACTAAGTACAAACTCATGGACAATCTTCCCCAGCTCTGTTCCCACCTGCACTCGCAAGACCATGGCCTCCGGGAGCCGGGGCAGCATGGGCGACACGGCAACAGAAGGAACTACTTCCGGAGCAAGTCAGGCCGGTCCCTGTATGTCGCCATTTGCAACATGCACCAGTTTATCGACGAGGAGCCCGACTGGTTTGAAAAGCAGTTCATTCCCTTTCATTCTCCTTCACTGTTCTACCGGGAGTCAGTCTTGGAGAAATTTGATTCCGGCTTGGTTTTAAATGATGTCATGTGCAAACCAGGGCCCGAGGGCGATTTCTGCCTAAAGAGAGATGCAGCCGTTCTTGGGGCAACTGGGCCAGCCGACTCCCAGCTCGAGAGTCAGCACGGGGCCCTGGACGAAGACGTGGAGGCCCGGCCAGCCCTTGACTGTGGTGCCGCCCTGCAGCCCCTGCTGCACACGGTGAAAGCCGGCAGCCCCTCAGACATGCCGCGGGACTCAGGCATCTATGACTCGTCTGTGCCCTCATCTGAGCTGTCTCTGCCGCTGATGGAAGGACTCTCGACGGACCAGACAGAAACGTCTTCGCTGACAGAGAGCGTGTCCTCCTCTTCAGGCCTGGGTAAGGTGCCTTTGGGGCCAGATCCTAATAGACCACAGCCTTCAGCCATGCTTCTGTAATCAGTCAAAGCGTTTTTCCAATTTTGGTGTTAATTTACTGAGCAGTGAAGCCTGATGAGAACACAGCTCGTTTGGTAGTCTTGATTTATCCCAGGTGATGGGAATACTCACATGTTTGAGTTGCAGAAATACTAATGCCAAATGACGGTGAGCTGCCCAGGCTGTGCAAGGGGTGTTGTGCAGCATACAGTGTGTGACTGTACCATGTTTCTAACTCCAGAAACATCAGAACCCCAAAACACATTGGTCTCCAAGGGTCTTGGATAACAGTTTGTGGACACTTGCCTTTTTTAGACCTATAGTGTTCACTGCCTTCCGTTTTCTTTAAAGCTACATTCATTGAGCGTGGGGTTCATGGGTACAGTATTCTCTCTATCCTAGTTCAGCACAGGGTCTCAGGTATGAGGGCTCTGTAGGAGGGCTTACTTCCCCAGGGAGCATCAGCTGGATGCCATCTCAGGCTGCACCTTACCATGTCTGTAACTGGTTGGAGTCATACATACAAACCCTTGACTTTTAGGAAAGATCTCTTCCTTCCTCAACTAAGGGAACTAGAGCCTGTTAGGAGGATGAGAGTGCGCCATCTTGAGCAGGTTGGAATTCTTGCCTCGTCTATACAAAGCCCATAGTCCAAACCCAGATCCAGCCACATTCTGGCATGAGCACCCAGCCCAGTGAAATGCAATGACAGTGTGACTCTGTACTCTCTTCTCTCCTTAGGTGAGGAGGAACCTCCTGCCCTTCCTTCCAAGCTCCTCTCTTCTGGGGCATGCAAAGCAGAATTTGGTTACCGCAGCTGCACTGATGAACTCCACGCGGTCGCCCCTTTGTAACAAAATGGAAGAGTCTAAGCATTGCCACTTTAGCTGCTGCCTCCCTCTGATTCCCCAGCTCCTAATCTCCCTGGTTGCATGGCCCACTTGGAGCTGAGGTCTCATGCAAGGATATTTGGAGTGAAATGCTGGCCAGTACTTGTTTTCCCTTGCCCCAACACTCTACCAGATATCTGGGCAAACTCTCCAATTTTCTAAAATGCTATGGAGATTTGAAAAGCATGTCCATAAGGTCTGACAACAGCATTTGGTTAGTCCTTGGATCAGAGCCAGTTGTGGGAGGTAGGGAAGAAATATGTAAAGAAAAACAGGAAGATATCTGCACTGATCATTCAGACTTCATTGAGCTCTGCAAACTTTTCCTGTTTGCTATTGGCTACCTTCATTTGAAATGCTTCGTGAAAAAAGGCACTTTTAACATCATCGCAGCCACAGAAATCAAGTGCCAGTCTATCTGGAATCCGTGTTGTATTGAAGATAATGTCCTCATTTATTTTTGATGTAGAATTAACATTGCCATGGGTGTTAAATAAGCTTTGAGTCAAAAGTCAAGAAAGTGACTGAATATACAGTCACCTTTTATGAAATGAGTCTCTGTGTTACTGGGTGGCATGACTGATTGAAGTGAAGGTCACAGGGCCTGGCTGATCATCTTGACCTTTCCATCTGAGATAGGTTGGTCAACATGCAGAAGGCCCCAGGACCTCAGCACAGGCAGCTTCCTCTTGGTCTGAGTAGGCATCATGCAGGGGCCAGATCTGCCTGCTGTTCCATGGGTTACATTTATTGCTGTATCTCACATGTTGGTGTCTGGAAGTTTATTCTTAAGAGACTGCTACCCAGCTGGTCTGAATTATTGGAAGTTGCAGCTTGTGCTTTGGTTAGTCTCTGGCCTAAGCTGTGTCCTGAACATTAGAGATCAGAATTCACTGAAATATAGCAGTGTGTGGAGGTGATGGCCAGTTAATCTGCTGAACTGGTTTTGACTAATGACAAATCTCTTTTTAAGAAGGGAGAATGGAGGAGGCAGTCACAAAAGTAAATGTTCCATTTTTATGAATGACTTTCTACAGAGTTTCTGTTTCTAAAGAAAAAACAATTGTTCACGTCTCATCTGATGACTAGCATGTGTGTAGTGAATGATGTCTTGGTCTCGCCTGTGGAAACTCTTTTCCCTGTGCCTTACAGCAGGTGTGGACATCTCTTACTACCTTTCTCATGGGTGCTGTTGGATTTTGGCACCTTGTTTTCTCAGCATTCACCCCGGGGACTGTGGTTTTCACTCCTTTGTTAGATAGGACCAACATGAAGGAGTATGCTGAGAAACCCTGAGGCAGGGTGGGAGGTGGGATGGGGCAGGACTTTCCCTTCCAAGCACATGCTTGGCAGGTGGTGAAAGGGGGGCTTGCACCCCTGCTGAAAGAAAAGGTTTGTGTATATTTCTGATGCAAATGTCATACTCACTGCTCTGTAAAGGCAGCTGGCAGCTTTTGGGAGAAGAGCGTGCTCGTCTGTTCTGTGGCATCAAATTTCCTGCAGCTGCTCTGAGGGAGAGACAGTGAGCTGCAAGACTATCTCCCATAAAACCAGGCAGCTCAGAGGAGAGTCATTTCATGTTCCTGTGAAATCTGGAATGAGTGCAAAGCTCCTACCCACACATGACTGCCCCGCTGTTTCATCCTAGGCATACATTCTGTGAAGGAGATTGGTTAGTCCAAACTTGCTAACATATGAAAATCCATTTGGGCCGGGCGCGGTGGCTCAAGCCTGTAATCCCAGCACTTTGGGAGGCCGAGGCGGGTGGATCACGAGGTCAAGAGATCGAGACCATCCTGGTCAAGAGATCAAGACCATGGTGAAACCCTGTCTCTACTAAAAATACAAAAAATTAGCTGGGCATGGTGGCGTGTGCCTGTAATCCCAGCTACTCAGGAGGCTGAGGCGGGAGAATTGCTTGAACCCAGGAGGCGGAGGTTGCGGTGAGCCGAGATCGTGCCATTGCACTCCAGCCTGGGTAACAAGAGCGAAACTCCGTCTCAAAAAAAAAAAAAAAAAGAAAATCCACTTATTTTCTTTTTGAGATTTCTTACTGAGGCCAAGGGATATTTCTTGTCCCAAAGGAACCATTAGGAACCACTTTTAGGATATTCAGCTTTGCTCATGAAATAAGGCATCTCTGAGAAAGTGGCCTCAGGGAGAGAATGGAGGACTGGGAGGAGAAGCATTAACTGGGCTCCACGGGTGTGGGCAGAGAGCTTGCTACATGAATGTAATCCTTATGAAAATGGAAGGGGAAAAGGGGGTGCTACTTAAAAAATCGGGATATTTTAGTTTGGATTTAGGGTTTTAATACTTATGTTGAAATACTAATGTTTCTGATCAACAAAATCAAACTCTTAATATACCAAGTAGTGAAACGACAGTGTGATTGCCTGAGAATAAATTGAGAAATCCAACTTCCTAGTTTTGCTTCATTAGTTTCACTTTTTCTACTCTCCCCATTATGCTAGAAATAGAAATGGTTGCCCTGCAGATTAAGGCAAAACATCTGTTTTAAGCAAAGCTGCATTTTTTTTGACTCAGAAACTGTCCCTGACAATGGATATAATAAGATGAAATTCAGAAAAATGTTCTGCCAATTCACAGGCCTTTAGCTATTGCGGAAACAAAAAATGGAAAATAGGGGTAAGCTCCATGAGAGACCTTGATCTTGAGAGTAAAAGGTTTATGTGGATAGTTTAGACAATATCTTCTAGAAAGGAGACCAGGGGTAAGACCAGGGTTCCAGGAAACCAAGAAGCCTGCAGGTAGCTGAAGGTAGTGTGCTAGTTGTTCATCTTAATTTACCAACGCTCTACAGAAAGGACTTAGCATCTGATGTAGTCAGCTTTGCCAGGAGAGTGATCAAGGAGGTTAAAGCTCAGGTAAAGGTGTTCTTCTCAGAGATTGGCTACAAGCAACAGAGACCACCTCAACAGACCCAGCTCAGCCATACAGGGTCCAGAAGCTCCTCCAGGGGCTGTCTTGGGCCTTTGAGGCATCTGATCTCCAGAAAGAATCAGAAGTCATTCCAGTCCAGGCCCAGGTATTCAGATGCTGACCCAGCCAGATAATAGTATCTTGAGCCAAAAATGAGATCAGGCCATAAAGTTAGGAGACAGAGTTTTTGATTGACATGTTAGCGATAACTGAAGACAGTCTCAGAAGTTCAGTAAAATGTCTTTAGCAATGGCGACATCATTGGGATCTATGTGTAGTAAGTCACGGATCTTTAAGTTTATGTATGTTTGTCAAAGTTCAGTCTTACAACTTCATAGCCACAAGTATCTTTTCAAAAATACCAGCTGTTAGTCTAGGGTCTCCTGACTTCAGTGCAAATAAACGGGAAGACTGTCCTTCCAAAAATGTGGGGTGACATGATTTTCAGAGCCTTTTTTTCAGAGTTGAGCATCTTTTCCTTTAAAAGAAATAAAGGGCAAGAGGACCAATTTTATTTCTGGAGGAAAAATGACACACCCTCCTCCCAAAAGAAAGAAAACTCTGGCCCCCACAACTTCAGCACTAATTTAGCTCCCTGAGAAGGGAGAAAATATTCTGTCTTTATTGAAGAGAAATGGACAATGCCAATGTGAAGGTTCCTAGTCTTATTTTCTATTGATGAAGACTACTAGACTACTATTGCTCTTATTTAGTAGATCTTATGCCTTTAGGAGTCGCCAGTATAGCAGGTGAGGTTTAAAGAAAACAGCTGTGTGATGATAAATGGTAATTAATATACTTTGTCAGTGTCAGCGAACAATAGGGAATGGTGGTTACTGTGGCAAACTGAAGCGTTCCTGTTCCACCCACAGGGGGCAGTTTTCCAGCTGACTGTGGCTATGAAGTATTTCCTGATCTTCTCATTTTTCAAGAGAAGCTGACAATCTGGATTTTTATTTGAAAAATTCCAATTTTAAAAAATATTGGCAACTAAGTTTGAAAAATTTAAGTGAATTTAGACTCGGCAGAAGATGTGGCTGAACCTGATTTGCTCAACTGACAACCAGTTTGTTACCTCTGCTTTATAAGATTTGAAGTGAAAGGCATCCATAGTAATTACAGATGGTGCCAACAGAAAATGCTCTTGCTAAATGCAGCCAGTAGCTAGATTGCTTCTTTCTCCTGTCTCTCCTGCGAAGAAATTTTATGTGATTCTGAATGCATTGGACATGTCTTGATTGCATCTTTACATTTCATGCTGTCTTAAAGGCAAACCAGTTGTTAATTTCAAAATCAAATTTATGCTCACTCAGTTTAAAAAATGCTAGGAACAATTTCACTTAAACTCCACAATCTAAAGAGCTAAACTTGTTTATAGTTTTAGCTCTTGGCATAATAATTTTTTTAAATGGTGTGCAATTCTGAGCATAGGCCAAGACATGATCAGGAAAGCAGGGATTTGTAGTGAGTAAAGCAGGGGAATCTCCTGGCGTCCATTAGAGCTAGGTATTTGCATTATCTTCCATTTTAAGTGCTCTGTGAATTGACTCTGTTTTGGAGGTGTGAAACAGTATACAGAGAAAAGCTTTTCCTGATGTTGAGATATCAGTTAGGAGTCCAAGTGGGGTATTGGGTCATCTTTGCCATATCACCTCCTTTCCAGGCTCAGGGTGAAAACAGACAAAAGGAAATCTGACTGCAAGCCAGTAGATCTGATTCCAGTTTCAGAGTTTAGGGACTGGAGAAAGTTTAGATTATCTAGCATGTTTTCCCCCTGGTGTCAGACAGGGCTATGCCTGAATTATTCCAGACATATGGCTGTAGATGATATTTTGTATTTTCCAAGAAGGAAATTCTGTAACCTACTTTGCTGATCAGATAGTTCTTTGTATGTCTTACAGAAATTCAAGCCGGCTTCCTTTTGTTCGGCATGTAGTGGAGAAAGAACAGCTGGTCACCTTCCATGTATTTAAAAACCACAGTGAAGTCATCCCCCTGGTGTTTTTATTTCAGTGATAAATAATTCCACCCACTTAAACCATTCTTCATGGCTCTTGTTTTCCAGGGGCCTAATAATTTTCACTGCTATAATGTTTCTCAGCTTCACACTCAGTTTAGTTACCCAAACAGAATGTTGGTGCCTTACTCACATTGGGACCTTGTGAAGACCAGGCTCAGGGTGGGGATTATGGGGCAATTCTTGCACGCCCAGCTCCTCTTACCACTTATAATGGCACTTTTACTAAATGGAATATTGCCTATATTCATTGAGAATTGTATGACTACCACATTTTTTCCCTAGGTGATAGTCATCCATCATATCTTGTGTTTGTTTTACTCCTGAGGTCAAACATTTCGTGCTTATTCCTGATGTATTAATGTCATTCCTGAGCTCCTTTGAGATAACCTGTTGAGACCAGCTCTTACCTTCTGAGTGGCAGCTACCCGCTCCCTCCCAATTTTAGATCCTGTTTTTACACAGCTCTGTAGACATCACCTTTATTTCATGACTCACAATATTAAATGGTGCAGACTTCGGTTTAACCACTGGTGAGGTAACAGCAGTAATTGCTAAGTGCCACCTTCCCGTTGCCATTTGAGGGCTAATTTGCAAAGATATTTGAATCCTCCAGTGAAGATGTCTGGGGAATTTTGGCCGGTTGTCTTCCCTCTTGCTCTTTTGCTCTTTAAAATTCAGCTGGGACCACAGACACCTCCAGGATCTTGTTTACGTTCTACGCTCAATTGACCAAGCGCAATCAGAAGTCCCACAAAAGCAAACAGTTATGACTGCATGTCTGATGTTTATATCATATAAAGTTTCAGGAAGATTCAGAGGGAATCTTCTATTTGTACATGACGTAGACAAAATTAGCTGCTCCATTTGTTAGACAAAAAATTGCCACTGGATTACACTAACATGCTCATCTTTTTAAAAAGTTTGGTATGTTTCTCTAAAGAGAAAAGCATGTTGAGTCTGGACAGCAGCAAAAGCTTCTGTGAAAACCAAACGTGTTCATCTAGACAGTAAGTAACTCCTATTTTTACTGTTTTTTTTAAAAGAGAATTTTTCCCTATGAAAACTCCCTGTTACTATGTCCTAGGGGAGAAAGCCTGTGGAATACAGTGGTTATTGACGGCGTTGCCTTTGTTTCATCTTTAAGTTTGTCCTTTTGATATCTGGTGGGATAGTGAGCACTGATGGAACTGTAGCAGTGTGCTGTATTTTTGACATTGAAAATGTTAATGACTTATTTGATTTGTATATAACTCTGTAAATAGGTGAAAGTAGATCACAGCTGACATTTACAAAATGTTTTTGTACCTTAGAATTTCTGCATTAAATAAATGTTTTAAGATTGTAGTGGTTCGTTTTTTAGCACATCTTTCTTGTTTCCTGACTGGCTGGGGTTCCCAGCCCAGTTTTCAGAGGGCTGCCTCACGACGAGGCAGCCAGGGGTGGACAGTCTTCCTTGCCCTTTAGAAAACAGGACCCTGCTGCCTCAGACCTTTACCTCGTGTCCACAGGCAGTCAGTTGCCCATTACCTGTGTGGCATCAGGAGGCCTCTCTGCTGCAACCAGGTTACTTATGTCAGAAAGAAATGTGACTTCTCAGAACAAATGGGCTTTCTTTTTAGAAATTTGAAAGAAGCCACTGACGTTTGGGGGCTGCACATAAATTTTTTTTGTCAGACAGAAGAAGAGATACCCGCTCAGTCCTTATGGACATTCTCCCCTCCGGTGCCCCCAGGCTCTGCAAGTTAACTTCTTGATGTCCATCACCTTCAGGATCAGGTCCCAAAGTCTGCTGACTTTTTTTTTTTCTTTTTAAGAGATAGGGTCTCTCCACATTGCCCAGGCTGGTCTTGAACTCCTGAGCTCAGGCGATCCTCCCGCCTCAGCCTCCCAAAGTGCTTACATTACAGATGTGAGCCAGCACGCCTGGCCTCTGTTACTGTTGCTCTGCCCCACTGACTATCAGACTCTTCCCTCAGCCTCTCATCCATAGAGAGGCCCTACTTTAGAGGGTGGTGAATTAAAACGCACGATGAATGTAAAGTGCTACCTGTGCATTCCTGGCATGTAGTACGTGCTCAGTAAATGACAGTGTCCACAGGAGGACAGCGAGCGTAAACAAATAGCAAGGATGTAGAACACAGGCTGTTGGCCATTGCCTGAGCAGGTTATAGTCTAAATTTGGGGTCTTGGGAGCATAATAGGTTTTTTTCCTTTTTTTTTTTTTAGATGGAGTCTTGCTCCGTTGCCCAGGCTAGAGTGCAATGGAGCGATCTCCACCCACCGCAACCTCCATCTCCCGGGTTCAAGTGATTCTCCTACCTCAGCTTCCTGAGTAGCTGGGATTACAGGCATCCATCAATGTGGCCAGCTAATTTTTGTATATTTAGTAGAGATGGGGTTTCACCATCTTCGATAGGCTGGTCTCGAACTCCTGACCTTGTGATCCACCTGCCTCGGCCTCCTAAAGTGCTGGGATTACAGGCTTGAGCCACTGTGCCCAGCGCATAGTAGATTTTAAAAACTGGATTTTCCTTATTTACTTGTTCCTTCTCATACTTCACTAGGATGTTAATGTGCTTGGGGCCTACAACCCACTCTGTTTGGGGATCCCAAGGAAAACAGAGGGAGTAGTAAAAAGCGAAACCCCCAAAGAAAACAGCTCTGAGGGAAGCATTGTTGGTTTCTGAGAGGAGGAAATTAGCACAAATTCTTGCCTCCTGACCTTTGCATATCCTTCATTTATCCAGTTTAGAGTCACCCAGGAGGCTCCTTGTCATTTCTCCCATTGATTTCCTTTTCCCCCATACTCTGTCAATTCTTTTTCTTTCCAGGAGTGCCAAGTGCTTTACCCACATCATCTATTTATCTTCATGGCTGCTTTGTGAGGTGGCCAATCCCACTGTTCCTATTTTACAGATGAGAAAACAGGCTCAGAGAAGCTCTGACTTGTGATCCCACAGCTGGCTAATGGCAGAGCCAGGATATGAGCTGAGGCAAACCCTACCTAGACTGCTCAGGTATCCCCTTAGTAAAGTTCTAGCCAGCCAGGTAGGGATAGACTCAAAAATGTGTAGTCAAAGGCAATAGAGAGCTTTCCCATAAAATGAATGGCAGAGAGGAAGTGATGATTGCCAACCTCTGAATGTCAGCAGGGCTGGTTCCTGCTCTTAGTGTTCTTCGTGTTATTTCTCACCATGACCCCCTATGGAGTGTACTACCAGCAGCCTCATTTGGAGATTCTGAGGTCTAGAAATTGTATAGCTTTGCCAGGGGCACAAACAAGGAATTGGCAGCACTGGAGTTGAAGTCTCCACGGAAGCATCATTATTCCTGATCAATAGGCTGCTCTAGTTTAAGTGGAAGGAAGAAGTTTGAGTGACTTGGTTCCTTTCTCATTGCAAATATTGAGTATAAATCTGGTTCAAAGTTGAAGCAAATGGATCTCGTTAGGCAGACACTGCAATACATGAATTTCTCTTTCCTTTTCTTTCATTAAAATAAAAGTTGCAGCTGGGCTTGGCAGGGCGCACCTATAGACTCACCTACTCAGCAGGCTGAGGCCCCAAAAAATACAAATAGTTTAGGCAGGGTGACTTACACCTGTAATCTCAGCAGTTTGGGTGGCCAAGACAGGAGAATCACTTCAGGTCAGGAGTTTAAGACCAGCCTGGGCAACAAAGCAAGACCCGTCTTAACAAAAAAATTTAAAAATTTGCTGGGCATGGTGGTGTGTGCTGGTAGGCCTAGCTACTCCAAAGGCTGAGGTGAAAGGATTACTTGAGCCTGGAAGTTTGAGGCTGCGGTGAACAATGATCACACCACTGCATTCCACTGCATTCCAGCCTGGGTGACAGAGTAAGATCCTGTCTCAAAACAATTATTTAAAAAGTAAAACAACAAACAAAAAAACATTGCAGCTATTACTTTCTATTAGTGTTCTCTTGGGACAGCATGAGAAGCCCTCACTTGGCTGGGCACGGTGGCTCATGCCTGTAATCCCAGCACTTCGGGAGGCCGAGGCAGTCTGATCAGGAGGTCAAGAGATTGAGACTATCCTGGCCAACATGGTGAAACCCCATCTCTACTAAAAATACAGAAATTAGCTGGGCGTGGTGGTGTGTCCCTGTAGCCCCAACTACTTGGGAGGCTGAGGCAGAAGAATCACTTGAACACAGGAGGTGAAGGTTGCAGTGTGCCAAGATCATGCCACTGCAGTCCAGTCTAGCAACAGAGTGAGATTCTGTCTCAAAAAAAAAAAAAAAAAGAAGCTCTCATTTTTACCATGATGTTAGAAAGCTGTCTGTTTTTACAGCTGCCTAGAGTTCTTGCAGTCCCCAACATCTGTGGGGCCCTGCCACTGTCTTTGCTTTGTTTTAGAAATACCAGAATTACAGGAGCAAAGACCAATTTCCTCTTGCAGGCTCTAATTAGAAAAAATTTTTTTTGCTTTAGTCAAATAAAAACTACAGGTGATAAGCTAAGCAGGTGGAGGAGGGAAGAGACATAAAATATATCTTTGTAGTTCTGGGCACAGTGGGTACTCAATAAATGTGTTTCCCACTCCTCCCTTAGCATATACTGTCCTCGCTGTCCAAAATGAATGAGTGAAATAAGAGGCCCAAGAATAGGATAAGTTAGAGGATGCAATGAAGGGGAAAGATGGACGCAAACACAGTATAAGAACTTTTGCAATGACAAAATTCAAATGGGGCCGTTGAGATTAAGGAAAAGAAATGGAAGTTCTGTGAGCTTGGCTCCCTGGCCTCTTTCTGGAAGGGACCTTGCACCATCTTTGGCATTTGTAGATGATACACTGCCTTAACAGGGTTAATTCCAAAGTATGTGCTGGAACACAGACATAGTGATGGACACAGTACACATAGGACCCCTGCCTTCCTGACTCCACTTCTTCCTATGTATAGAGTTGAGGGCAAGTCATCTAAATGTTCTGAAACTCAGTTTTTTCATCTGCAAGATGGGACTAGTACCCACCACAAAGGGTGATTGTGAGGATTAAATGAGATGGAGTATATAAAGTACCGAAGGCTGTGCTCAGCAAGTGCCAGGTACTTGGTGAATAGTAGTTAATTATCCTGTGGTAGAGAAAGTCTGGGGCTCTTTGGGGGCCATATGGAGATGGGTGGGAGACAGTTCCATGTCCACAAGGAGCTTTAAGACAAGCACTTTGTTGGGTGCTAAGTTACATCATTTCTGTCCGCTAGGAGAAGAGAGTGAGGCACGGTGGTTCATGCCTGTAATCCTAGCACTTTGGGAGGCTGAGGCAGCTGGATCATGAAGTCAGGAGATTAAGACCATCCTGGCCAACATGGTGAAATCTTGTCTCTACTAAAATACAAAATATTAGCCTGGCTTAGTAGTGGGTGCCTGCAGTCCCCGCTACTCAGGAGGCTGAGGCAGGGGAATTGCTTGAACCCCAGGTGACGGAGGTTGAAGTGAGCTGAGATTGCTCCACTGCACTCCAACTTGGTGACAGAGCAAGACTCCGTCTCAGAAAAAAAAAAAAAAAAAAAAAAAGAGGATAGGGTGGGTCCATGCCTAGTTGTTGCAGAGGTGAGCATTGAAGAGGAACTTAATTTGGCAAAATTAAGACATTAGCTCTAGGGTTCCCAATAGCTGACCACACATGGCCTGTGACAGTTGACCGTGCACCTTGAGATCTGCTCATGTTCCACTCCCCAGACTCCTTTTTTCCTGGTTGCCATTTAATCCTGATAGAGACGCATTTCTCAGGACTTGCTGCTGGAAGGTCTCTGTGCTAGGCAGATGACCACGATCTGCTCTGGATGTGAAGAAAGGCAGGGGTTGTTTCTCAAACCATCAGTGCGAGGTCAGAGCAATTTTCCAAGTTTTACAAGTTAGTGGAGGGAGATGGGAGATCAAATAATAGTCTTCCAGAATGAGATGGCTCTGCCTGGTCTTTTCCATTCTTGCTGGTCAGGGACATTCTGGGGAGTGGGCAGGCATCAGCCTCAAAACAAACCATAGACTTTCCCCACCAAGTTGGGCCAGGCCAGGCCAGAGGAAACTTGTAGCAAAGAAAGGCAGGACCGTGCCTGGCAGCTGAATGCCAATACAGTTGGTCTTGCCTTTGATTCTGTATCTCTGGAGGTAGATGTGCTTCAGTGTCCTGCACACCTGTGTATAATTATGTATTATTATTCGTGAGATGATGATAATTAGCATTGCGATTAAAGTGGCAACAGGCTTTGGTCTCAGGCATCTTAAACTTAGATCTCAGTCTGCCATTTTTTGTGTTTCCCTGGGCAGGTGGCTTGCCCTGTTTAGGACTTAGTTTTTCTATCTATTAAACAGTTAACAGGGCG